ATATCTTATAATGTTTTTTAAATTTTAATTAATAATTAATAAAATCTATTATATTTCATCTATAATACTTTTAAGAAATAAATAATCACACATTATTTTAAATTTTAATTAATAATTAATAAAATCTATTATATTTCATCTATAATACTTTTAAGAAATAAATAATTACACATTAAAATAACTTTCAGTTATAGTATAACAAAACGCAGTTTAACACAGTTACAGTACAACACAGTTTAATACAATTAAAGCCACAACTATAGTTATAACATTTCATAACAATTTCAAATACACCCTAAAATGTAGTTTTTGACTTTATATATAAAACTATTGTAGATCTGCTACAGCTTTATACAATTTTTATAAAAATTAACTTGAAAAAAAAAAACGCTAAACACATATATATCCTAAAACACTGTACAACTAAAAAAAAAACCCAACTACAATTCGAAACACTTACCGAACCAATTAAACTAAAATACTCAAATTTTATAGTAGTTGAGACAACTAAAATTCTCTCAACTAAATTAAAATACGGACAGTATGTAGAGGATATAGCTTTCCCCCGTATTCCATTCATCGTGGAAAAGCTTTCCAATAAAGGGCGACAACCGGAGAAAATTAAAAATGAAAGTAGATTATAAATAAATTGATATTCATATTTTACAAGTTGAATTGCATATTAAAAATGTAGTTTGTATATGAAATTACTCTAGTATTTTAAATACAATAACATAAAAAATAATTTTATTAAAAATATTTAAGGAAATTCATAAATCAAATGAATTTTTAATATACAATTTGACCTGTAAACATTTTAATGTTTTAGATTTTAATTTTAAATTATTATGTTATATTCTAAATTGAGTCATATTAGAATTTTGACACATAAAAACATCCTAAAGGAGTTTCATTAAGATTAAATAAGTTAAATTTTACTATAATTAGAATATCTAGCACCAACCCAAGTAAAAATTATAATTTTATGGTGATTCTATGTAATATCATATAAATACTCCAATATTAGACCTAAGAAAGAGATTAATTTTCTTCATTCTCTCTGTTATAAGCCTTAGTGTCACATAATTTCTTCTATGTTTTAGTATTAATTTTTTTAGTGTACGATGTTTGTCAGTTTGTGGGATCTTCGTCTCATGATTTCATGGCTGTCTATATTCTAAGCTCAAGTTGATTTGTTTATCACGTTATGATTGACTGGCATTAAGATCCAGACTTCAATTATTGTGATATTCTATGATTTAATGCAAGCCCAACAAAGAAGAAACATCTCCAATTAACGAGGACCTGTTAGAGAAAGAAAGTGAGTTAGGGAAGAGAAGAAATGGAACAGCCACTACTGCCACAGGAAAAGGAGAAGGCATGGAGATTAACATGGAGCAACTTTCTGGAGGAATTGAAGAGCGTGAGCTACATGGCGGCTCCTATGGTGGCGGTTTCATTTTCAATGTACGTTTTGCAAGTCATATCCATGATGATGGTGGGACATCTCGGTGAACTATCCCTTTCTGGGGTTGCTGTTGCCACCTCCATCACTAATGTCACTGGCTTCAGTCTTCTTGTAAGTTGTAAAGCTTTCTCTAGCCTCCTTTTTCTCCCTGGATTATTAGCTTCTCAAAAATTTTATTGGGTACCGGAGACGATAGCTAATTTGATATTAGATAAAATTGACAGTCTGATCTGAGTGCATCGAATCACTTGTGTGCTTTAGGAGTTAAACATTTGTCTAATCACATGTGTCATATTGATCATTATCTATCTAGATTATGTTTTAGAACTTGGCCTAAGTAAGTTAAGTTTCAAACCCTAAAGTCTTGCATGATTTCTAACGTTCTTTATGTACCAAGCAGTTTGGAATGAGCGGGGCATTGGAAACTCTCTGTGGACAAGCATATGGAGCAAGGCAATACCTGAAAGTTGGAACTTATACATATTGTTCAATAATCTCTCTTCTTCCAATTTGTATCCTGATATCCATCCTTTGGATGTTCATGGACAAGCTATTGATATTAATAGGCCAAGACCCTCAAATCTCTATGGTAGCATGCAGATATGCAGTTTGGCTGATACCTGCACTATTTGCCAGCGCAATTCTTCAGCCTCTAGTTCGCTACTTCTTGTCTCAGGGCTTAATTGTTCCCTTGCTCTTGAGCTCTAGTACAACCGTATTTCTCCATTTACCTCTTTGTTGGGCTCTTGTATATAAAATGGAACTGGGAAATATTGGGGCAGCACTAGCAACTGGACTTTCTTACTGGTTTAATGTGATGTTGCTTGGATTTATTATGAAGTATTCTGCATCATGTGAGAAAACTTGCATCCTCGTCTTACAGGAAATTTTCTCATCCATTAAGGAGTTCTTTAGCTTTGCTCTCCCTTCTGCTGTTATGATCTGGTAATCCACAATCTTTATATTTTTCAACAAGTGGTTTTCTCCTAGTTTCCTACTTAATGAAGGTTTTGATTTTTTACCACTAATATGTTTTTGATATGGTAACAGCCTTGAGTGGTGGTCATTTGAACTGCTAATACTGCTTTCTGGCCTTTTACCAAACTCAAAAGTTGAAACGTCAGTTCTTTCCATATGGTAAGCTTCCATACCCCAAAAACCTAGAAAAATTGAGTTCTTTATATGATTAATTTCAATGAGAATGTCACTAATTTTCTTTAATTTATGGTTTTTTTTACTGAGAAGCCTTGTAACCATATCAATACATTTTCAAATACCATATGGGATTAGTGCTGCCGCAAGGTAAGTTCTATAACTGGCCTTTGAATATACATACATATACATTTATCTCTTTAAATGCATATTTTTATGAAAATGTTTGAACTTTTTGGATAGCACAAGAGTTTCAAATGAATTAGGAGCTGGAAATCCACAAGCAGCTAGAGTGGTTGTCATTGCTACAGTGGGACTTACAGCCGTAGAAGCTATCTCCGCAAGCATAACTCTCTTCTGCTGCCGCTATGTCTTTGGATATGCATTTAGCAGTGAGAAGGAAATTGTGAATTACGTTACAGAAATGGCTCCCTTGATCTCCCTATCTATTATAGCGGACAGTTTGCACAGTGCATTTTCTGGCAAGTTCCCTACTGCCTTTGAGTATCTTCTTAGTTCTGATAGGCAATATTTTTTTTTTGAATCATGTCCTCTGACTCATAAGCCCAATCTCTAGGTTTTCCCTTACTTTTTATTTTTGAACTAAATTCTTTCTAATGTTGGCAATAGTCTTGACGTTGGTTTCTTTTTTGCATCAGGTATTGCCAGAGGAAGTGGGTGGCAGCACATTGCAGCCTGTGTCAATCTTGGTGCATATTACCTTGTTGGAATTCCAGTAGCTATCCTGTTGTGTTTTGGCATGCATTTTAGAGGGAAGGGCCTCTGGATTGGTATCGTGGCAGGGTCTACCGTACAATCAACATTGCTTGCAATTGTTACTGCCTTCACAAATTGGCAAAAACAGGTTCTCATTTCAAGTCCTAATCTCCCTCTCTATGCACCTTATAGTTAATTTCCATCCATAGGTCTTAATTTGGTTTTGGTTTTTAGCCATTAGTAGGATAATGTTTTGGATAGAAAATGACCGTCTTGTTATCGATTCACTCTTCTTACTACCATCTTTCTGTGGAATTAGCTAATTGTTTTGCATAATCAAACATCAATAGTTTGCTTTTGAGCTATTATAAGTAAAACCTTGCGGATCTATATTGCAGGCAGATAAAGTGCGACACAGAATATTTAAAGAGACGTTTCCAGTTGAGAAAGAATCGGCTTGAGGAAACCGAAGGCAAACAGAGGGATAGCCTTTTAATCTGAATTTCTACATGCTATACTCTGAACTCTCTGTTTCCCTTTATAATTCATTAGTTTGTAATTTCGGATTTCCCATGATTGGCACATGCCATTGCATCAGTTTTAAATGTACGATAAATTAAACAGAACAATTTTAGTCTTCATTTGCTTTGCCTTCAGCATCCAAAAATTTCATGGATTCTCTCTTTGCTTTTGGGATTCAAAATCCAAATGGAAATTTGATTAATTCCATAATTATCTCTATAGATACATATTGCATACTGAAATCCAAAAAAAAAAAAAAAAGGGGAACTCAGAAAGGATGAACAACTCTAATCTCAAGTTCATAGAACTTATTAACACTGCAACAGGTAGCAAAATAGCATCTAACAGATCTACAGAATAAAGTGGAATCATATATGCTCTTTCTTTTTTTCTCCCCATATGTAGACTGCTTACCTCGGCCAAGTAATGATCTGCATACACCACGAATACTCAGAATCAAAAGCAATTATTTTGAGCCATCGTGAAGCTAAACAAGCGTGCAAGATAGAATTAGTAAGGTGGAGGAGGGCGATACCCAGGTGGAGGTGGCCTATATGGATCAAAGTAAGGTGGTGGGGGAGGTCCAGGGGGGCCAGGGGGTGGTGCAAAGGGTGGAGGTGGTGGACCATGAGGATGGTGGTGATGAGGTGGTGGAGGAGGATAGAACCCAGGACGTGGCGGGGATGGTGGTGGCGGACCAACTAAATGAGGCGGAGGTGGTGGTGGTGCAAAAGGGTCTGGTGGCGGTGGTGGTGCAAAAGGGTCCGGTGGCGGTGGGGGTGCAAAAGGGTCCGGTGGCGGTGGGGGTGGACGGTGTCTCATTTTTGGTTGAATATGTGTGTCAGGAACCAATGGGTAGGTTAATTGGAAATTTTTGTTTTGGCCTTGTTTTATATAGGAATTGAAAGCGAAAATTCTAGATAAAATGGACTGTTAGGTGGAGACCGGTGGATGCGTTTCCTTAGCCACAAAGAATACCGAATTGGTTCGATTCCAAATTTGTGTGGCCTATTTTGTATCGACAAATGCAATTGGGACACAGCTTTTACTCATATATATGGACTATATGGATGTTCTTTCTTGCACGTCTTAATCAGAATAAATAAACTTTCAACGTTTTCCTTATCTTTTAAGGCAGCAAATCAAGATTCCCAGTACACAGAAAAACGTTTGCCTTTGTTATAGTTGAAAATTCAGAATAAGGTGGGTCATCTTTTGTTTTTTTTTTTTTTTTTAATTTTTATTTTATAATTTAAACTATATTAAAATATAAATTATAAATGAAAAGACAAATTAAAAATTAAAAATTTATTTTCTATTTAATAATTAAATTATATAATTAAGTATTTTGAATTACGTGAGACCCTTTTTTAATAAGAGAATGTAGAAAATTGAAAACAGAAAATCTTACTCTATGGTACACAGCAATGAAGTTAATACCGTACTGTATCGGTCGGTACGGCCGGTATGTACCGATTTTGATATTTAACTGAAACGGTACAACGTCAGTTTTCGTTTCGATCAAATTTTAAGCGTTTTGGTCAAAATTCGGTGTATCGGTCGCAATTTTGGTATACCGACGATTTTGATATTTAACTGAAACGGTACAACGTCAGTTTTCGTTTCGATTAAATTTTGAGTGTTTTGGTCAAAATTTGGTGTATCGGCCGCAATTTCGGTGTAC